GCGGTCGTTCGTGCCCTCGACTCCCCTCGCAGTCGCTCCCCGTCTCCCTTATCGGCTCGTCATTCCGCATACCACTTGAACGGACTTTGGGGTATTTTCCCCGGGGCTTTTCCAAGCACCGCTCCTTATCTCCGAGGTGGCCGGTGAGCCAGGCAGAGAGCCCCTTGCTCGGAGCTCCCGCTGCCTCCTGGAGGCACCTGCGAGCAGGAGCCTTCCCGTTCCTGCGGCGCCGCATCCCGGCCCTCGCGCGGCAGGAGGGATCGCGCCGGGAGCAGAGGCGCAGCCTGGCACCGGCTTGTACCCTCTACACGGGAACTGGCCTGAAGGCAGCTCTGGCTTGCCTAAAACGTGCACGGGAGCCTGTACGTTTCTGCTGCCCGCGGATCAACGAAAGGAGTCACAAATGTCTCCTAGCCGCGTCCAGCTCGAATGGCCACGGGTGCCGCGGGGAAAGACCAGCGTCTTTCAGCTCTGCTTCCCCGTCCTGTGCTGCTCGGACAAGCCCGACAGCGCGAGCTCCTGGTCCCCCGCCCCACAGCGACGCGGGCCGCGCTCTGCCCCTCTCTTCGTGCCCCTTTTACCTCCCCGCTACACCACAGCGCTTCCAGAATGGAGAAGGAAAAGAAACGAAGCCTCCGACACAGGATCCTACCTCAAGGCTGAGAAGGCACTAGGGAACCAACCTCGTTCAGGGTTTGGGGAGCTCTGAGCAGGGTTTTGATGCCTCCGAAACACCCACAGACCCTCGAACCGCGGCGAGAGCCCTCACCGCACAGCACTGTCTGCTAGGGCCGTTTCCAGTCATATTTTGGCTCCCAAAACACATAACTTCTCTTTCTCCCTGCAAATTCCAAAGTTATTCATGTCTACTGCTATGTGCCAAATAATATAGGTAACGTTTCCACTTCTTCTGCTCTGGAGTGCCATTCAAAAGCTAGAATTTATATTAATCACAGTAGCAGATGGAAAACTGGGGGAAATACTAGCAGACTTATAAATTGCTTAAGAGTTAAAAATAAAACGAAAAGTGCATCAAGGAAATATATATTTTTAACCTATTAAACCAAGCCGAGTTACATCCCAACTGGCACCGTGCGCGGCGGCTCCGAGCCGCGGGCCGGGCCCTTGGGAAGCGCGCGGAGGAGCGGGCCCGGATGCTGCCCTTCCCGCTGCCCTTCCTGCTGCCCTTCCCGCGTGGCGCGCTCCGTCCTCGGCCTCGCCGCTCTCCTCCGTCTCCGTGACGGTCGGAGCCGCTCTCTGTTTCCAGGACTCCAGCCCCGGGAGCGCTTCCCTGTGCAGGTTGGGCTTCTTTCTCACCTTTTACACCTCACATCTCCATAGAAAATCAGTCTCTCCAATCCCAATTTTGAAGGACAAAATACATGAATTTCTGATGAGACCAGCATCGTCTCCATCTCCGTTCTGGGCCTAGAGCCGCTGAGCTGTTTCCTCCGCATCCGGCCAGGCAAGGCCACCCACTTGTCACCAGAGATGCCCGGCCCTGGTTCCCACCTTTAACATCAGCGTTGTTCGTACACGGAAACTATTTCGGGTCACTTCAATATTTGGTGTAAAAAGAAGGGAAAAGCCCTCACTCTGTGTGTGCTTACTGTCCTCAAACACCTTTGACACTAACTCATGGCAGTGCTACCTCAGATACGGAGAAACACAAAACGATTTTTAAAAAGTTTCAGCAAAGTGCTAAATCCTGAAACACACCTAAAAATCGCTGCCATTTCCTGACAAACACATACACTACATAGGTGCATGGTGACAACACGTTATGACACATTTTTAACTGCTGTGCCCTTGAGGCGACCTGAAGGCACCCGCGGCTTCCCCAGCTTACGGACAACGCGCCTTTTCCACAGGGACGAGCCGTGCCAAGCTCTGCCTCGCTAATCCAGCACACAAAGGAGCACCAGGTTCCTTGGCAAGCTGCAGACCTGCGCTTTATAGAAAGGCGGGAGGCAGATTCCCAGGAAGGGAGAAGGCCCCATTGCTCTGCCCTGGCGCGCTGCTCCGGCGGCGTCACTAAGGGTGACATTCCCAGGCGCGGAGCATGGAGCTGGCGGCCGAGGGATTCACCAGGGCTCACCCACGGGAGCCGCGGGTGCCACCTGCATTACAACACCTGGAATCTGGGATATTCCCTGGCACCGAGGGGAGCGAGGGGCAGCCCAATTCCCACGTCCCTGGGCACCGCTGCGCGCCGTCCCAAGAGGAACTGCACCCCCAAGCCCGGCACCTCCTCTGGATACAGGAGCAGGAATTCCTTTGGGAGACAGCAGGAACATGCGATGCAGGAAAAGCGTCCAGTGCCTCTTACGGGGACACCAGCGCACAGACCTTGCTCAAAGGGGCGGCCCTGGGACCAGACACGGCAGCCTGGACCGTTCGGAAGCCCGAACCGAGGAGGATGGGAGACCCCGGGTAACCCCGCACGGGAAAGGGTGTTATTTATTAAACTAAAATTAAATTAGAGTGTCCTCATGCCGTGGACATCTGATGTGTGTCCGTGACGCGGAGCGGCCTGTATTCCCGGGACCTGGCTCCCTGGTGCCTTCTCCTCCTGCACCTCCTCCTCCCGGGCTCATTCCTGATCTGTGCGGGGAGAGGAAGGAACCTTTGTAGCTTTTGGCTTCACGTTAATTCTGCTGGAAAACATCGGGGCTTTCATACATTTAAAATAAATATTCCTGGCCCTGGTAAATCAGAGGCGGGTTCCCACACGGACATCGCGGTCCCGTTCATCCCTCCAGCAACTGCAGACCCCGAGGACGCCCTGTCCTCACCCGCGATTCCCTGCTCCGGGCTCATTCCCAGCCCATCACTTCACCTCCTTGGTGAAGGGGCTTCTTAGCAGTCAAATCCACTGAGCGTTACCTCCACATCCCCATTTTCATCCCCAGTGTTTCCACAACAACGTGCAAAATTCTTACTTTTCTTCTGAGTTACAGTTGGGATATTTTTAAGGCGCAGTCTTGATTATTTTAAATCGTTATTAATATCTAGAGAGTTCTAACAAAGTAACTGCGAAATTGGTTCATAAGTCAAATCCATACCTCCCAACTTTGTAAAACTGAAAAGTAACAGGCCTCTTTCCTGGCTAGAGAAAGCCTGAGAACAAAATACAGACTCTTTAGTGGATCCAGGTTTATTTTTTGGCATTGCAAGGTGCCTGTGTCTCCCCAGAAACTTGTATCAGAGAGCAACCAAATTCCAAAAATAATAAAGAGGGAATGGAAAGCAGCATAACAAGCGTCTCAGATCTGCTCATGTATATTCATAGACGCAGCCACCCCGTCACTCTTTGTTGTGAGATACGCAGCGCTTTCCGCGTTCGGGAACGTTCCCTGGCGTCCTCCGGATTTAGCCGCTGTGAAAAGGCCCCGGTTTGCGGTGCCGCGGGCGGCAGTTCTGCACGGGGCTCCGTGTGCCCGGGGCCAAAACCCGAGGAGATCAGTACGGACCCGGGGCTCCCCCTGCATCCGCTCTGGGCTCTTCTCCTTGGCCAGTCCTGCTAAGGGAGAGACACGGAAAAGTCTATCGTAACTCCCAGAGCCGCCTGCCCAAACACCCTGCATATTTCGGCACAGCATTAAAAGTTAATCCCAGCACCTGGCCACTAAAATAAGCCTTGAAAATCTTTTAAAATTTAACTTTTTGCAATTTTCCGCACTACTTAACGTTTCAGCCCTGCTGCGGTGTGTTTATTTAGAAAAGCTGGAGGCAAGCGCAGCAACTGCAAAGTCTGTTGACTTTATGCAAAACCCAGGCGAGGCTAAAATTAAACGTCCTTATTGTTCTAACCCGCCTTCCCCCTTCTTCTTTTTTGCAGTAGGT